TGGTGATGATGATGATGATGATGGTGGCGAGGGTGTTGTCCGGTGTTGGCGAGGTTAGTGTTGTTGGCGATGTTGAAGAGTCCTTGTTGTTTATCTTCCTTGACAGGTGGCTTGTGGTTTAAACCACACCCTAGCTGTATCAGCTGACGGTAACACACCATTTGCATTTGGTGATGGTGACTATGGCAAGCTTGGTTTGGGTAGTTCTACCGCTAAGACTTCTCCGCAGGTTGTAGAAGCCTTATCTGGCATAGGAATCAGGAAGGTGTGCTGTGGTACACAGTTTTCTGTCGTTCTCACCAAAGACGGAAGGCTTTTCTCGTTTGGACAGGGTAAGTATCATCATGATTGGTGTGATTCCTACACTGCGTAATAGAGCTTTGAAGTCGTGGCGTATTTCCAGGTCCAACTGTTTACAAAAATCGTTCAAATAAAGCAAAAAAATGATCTCAATTATTTACCATCCACCTGAAATGATTAGAATTTTGGTCATGCTTGTGAACCCAGTGGTAAAATTCTGTCACTCGTTTCTCAGGAAGAAAAATCTTTATAGCACTGCTTCTCATTTTGGACCCGGAAGTCGTTTTTCCAGACGTTTCAATTGATTCCATACTTAAAGTTCTATAGAAACATATGTTTAAAGTGTGAACGTTACAGCACGGACACGTTACGGTATGCGATACTGACACACATTGCAGTCATACAGAACTTGTCGTACATGTATATCATGTTAAATCAGCCGTAAAATTACTCACTTCTTTCTGAATTTCTAGAGAGGTTGATCGGTCAGCCCGAAGGACGGCTGCGTGGACCAAGCAAACCCCAACAAATCCTCGCTCTCGCGTCCCACTTTGTCGACGACGTGGTTGTCGGAGCCGAGCATACCCTTGCTCTTACCAGCGCTGGGGAAGTATGGTGCTGGGGGTCTAACGTAGACGGCCAACTGGGCCTGGGTAACAGCGTTACCCAACGTGAACCTTGCTTATTACCAGACCTGAAAGGAAAAAATATACGACAGATTTCTGCGGGTCGTAACCACAGCTCCGCGTGGACGGCACCTGTTGCGCAAACCCCTACTCCTGGTACACCAACACCGTTACAGCTAGGCCAACCTGAACATATACCACCGCAGTACCCTGCACTGAAGGGCATCAGTACTGAGTCTGTCAGGGCAAGACTAAGGGTACTCCATTACTTCTCCGACTTGGTTTATGCATCGTGGAAGCTGTTGAGTCTTGTTCGTGGAGAGGTAAGAACGATGTGTATTGATTGGCCCGCTACTACTAGGCCCAGCTACAAGACTTTATCTATCTATATCAGGTCGGGGCATGGACGGGGTAGGTAGCTGAATATCCTCCGCACACTCTTTGGGTCCTCCCTTCGCCCCTAACGGAAGTAGGCTTTATTTAAGCAAACTAATCTCTGCTCGTTCTCACTTAAATATTGTTTTGATTAACCTCGTAGATTGACTTTCATCCGTATAACCGAGGCACCACTGGTTTTGTACGTGGTCACCTACGACCGTTACTAGCAACCCGCGTGTCCAATCTACCTATAGTACGTGCTATAGGACGAACAATGGTACAAGGGAAGAATTACGGACCGCAGATCACTGTCAAGAGACTTATAGGAAGGTGGGTTACAAATATTAAAATGACGTGATGTTTTTCCATTTAAGACCACATGTCATTCCCTTGAGAATAAGATTCTTTGTTTGAGTTTTATCCAGATTCATGAATGTCTTCTCGTGTGCAACCGTTATTAAACGACGTAGTTTTCCCATTTCAAACCACATGTCATTCTCTTAGGAATAAGTTTTTTTTGTTTTAGTTGTATCCATATTTATGTGTCTTCTCATGCGCACTATGAACCGTAGATGACGTGATGTTTTCCCATTTCAGACCACGTGCCATTATTTTGAGAATAAGATTCTTTGTTAAGGGAATGATACATGGTTTTGATGTGAGTTACTGTGCCATGACTTTGAGCAGCCCAGAGGTTGTCAAGCTTTGTTCCAGGGCTAGTTACCGTGGTTGCTAATGAGTGTGTTTTATTCTAGGAGTAAAAAGGCCAAGCCGATATTCGTCCAGATTGCTCATCAAGTCGTGAAGCTCAAGCCAGCAGACCTGTGCCTTCCTTCCAGAGCCTGGAAGGTCAAACTAGTAGGAGAAGGCGCTGATGATGCTGGTGGTGTGTTTGATGATACCATCACAGAAATGTGCCAGGTATAAGATAATACTCGTTACATYATTTGATCATGGAATCCACGCTTGTATTTGACACACACTCTCATTGCGATCCCACTTTTTGCCATTTATTTGATAGACCTCTGTACCTTGGGCACAATGTTTTTCCATTTCAGACCACGTCTAATAGACCCCTTACATGTGATGTCAAAGCAGCTCAATGTAGAGGACAAAAAAAAAATTGGAAACACATTGTTATGTCCTCCAATTGAACTCCATTCCAACTCTAGGGAATAAGATTCTTTGTTTGAGCTGTACCCATATATTCATGTCTTCTCATAGACAACCGTTAAACRAAGAAATGATTCTCTAGAGAATGACTCGTGGGCTGAAATGGGAAAACATTACACCCAAGCTGAAAGGGCCTGTTAGTTGAAGAGTGATTTTATCGTTGTACAACAACAGCAGCAATTTGTATTCCTTCTGTATGTTTTGACAGGAATTGGAAGAAGGCACTGTGCCATTATTTATCTATACACCAAACGCTACAGCAGAAGTGGGCTTTAACAGAGATAGGTAAGTATCCTGATGGTCACAATTTGACTGTGCCCCCCCAACCCCAAGACCCCCAGACCCCCATGATTGAGTAAATGAAAACCTTCTTATCCAGGTAAAATTACTAAGAAAGAAGTAAGACTTTATCGGGTGCCCAGTTTTTGATTGTTTGTTCGATCCAATGGCTGGTCAGTTAGATTCTAGGTTAATAATCAACATTTTATTTATCTTCATTTATAATGGTTATCATTTTTCTCTAGATATTTATTAAACCCACGAGGTGTAACAGAAGAAGACCTCATCCTATACAAGTTTCTTGGTATTTTATTCGGTGTTGCAGTGAGGACCAAGAAACCACTTGACCTTCATCTTGCACCTCTTGTCTGGAAACAACTGGTGGGGATTGCCCTCTCACCCGATGATATCGAGGAGGTACGAAACACTGCACACCCTTCCTTCCTTCCTTCCTTCCTTCCTTCCTTCCTTCCTTCCTTCCAAATTCAAAAATCAACTTCTAAATTCCAATTTGATTTCAGTGGAAGAAAACCCACTTTAAACCCCATTATTTCTGAATAAACGAGAATTCATAAAAGGGGAGAGAGATCCCTATCTCACACATTTTGATTCCCTTCGGCAATACCTCGTTAATACGACCGCCGACGGACCGTAGGAAGTGTCCGTAAAAGACAGGTATCCACCAATAAGGTTCGACCATAGTTTGATCAATCACTGTGTTGTCTTCCAGGTCGACTTGCTTTATATGCAGAGTCTACGCGGTATTCGTGATATCCATGAAAGTGGTGTAGACGAGGAGTCATTTGCTGAGGTTAGTGGTCTCTGAAATAGTTTACAAAAAAAGCTGGAATGTACGAATATTAGATACTCGATCCAATCTCTATATGTGACCAATGAAAGGGGTTTAGCCGGAACCGGAAGTAGAGTTTTTGTCACGAGATTATTTGAGTGCGTTTCTTCCTCCGGTTGGTTTTCACTGTCGTATGATTCCACCAGACGACGACATAATATGGATTAAAAAGACAAACTTGGTGGAAAGCTTTGGGAATAGATTCAATAGTGATGGTCTCCCATGTCAATGTGTCATTCCCTAGAGTTGCACTACCCTAGTAATTTCCCCTGCAAGCGTAATATTTCTTCGTTTAACGGTTAGGCATGAGAAGACACATGAATATAGATACAACTAAAACAAAGAATCTTATTCTCAAGATTATTGCACGTGGTTTAAAATGGGTAAACTTTACACCAAGGTAAAAGTTATTGGGTCTTCAGTTAATGAATTTATTTTTCACGTTTCTCAGGTGATTCCAATCGAGTCGTTCGAAACTCTGAGCGCCGATGGTCGCTTCGTACCCATATGTCCAAGCGGTAACAGCATTCGATTGACGTTCGACAACCGAAGCGAATACGTGGAGCAAGCGTTACGTTATCGATTGCACGAGTTTGATCGGCAAATCAGCGCCATTAGAGAAGGAATGTCTGGGATTTTACCAGTCCCTTTGTTGTCACTGCTGACTGCGGAGAAACTGGAACAGTTGGTCTGTGGGTCTGAAGAAATTAGTATCGACATGCTGAAGAAAGTGGTCAGGTAGGAATACTCCTCGTACCTCCCCTCCCCTCCCTTCTCACGGATGCGGCTTTGTTACAGTTTTGTCCAGAACGTAGAAAATCGTTCGCGGTAGGCCATGGTCCTGTATTCTTATTGGATCAGGGCATTTGCCATGACTTTGCAGAAACTTTTATCATACGAACGTCCCTACGTGTCCGTGCCGTGCGGTAATCTTGTGCGCTGTGATTGGCTCGAAGGATCTTGTCAATTCCCCGTGACCGTGCAACAAACTGTTATGTGTTCATAACAGGAGAGTCGTTTTCTGTTTGTACCATTCACTAGATAGATTGAGTAAGTTTATCGTCTAATTTATTTTTCAGGTACCGCGAGATAGATCCATCTGACAATATAGTCTSCTGGTTGTGGCAAACACTCGAACAGTTCACCAATGAAGAACGCATCCTTTTCATGCGGTTTGTGTCCGGCCGATCTCGACTGCCTGCAAACATTGGGGACATCGCACAGAGATTCCAGATTGTTAAGATAGACAGGGTAACGTATTCTTTTTAAACCATACCAGGGGAACGCCATAATTAACACCTTAGCTCAAAGTTGTGACTTAAACAGAGTTTCCATATTGATAAAATAGACAGGGTAACTTATTCTCTTAAACTATATCAGGGGTCCCAAGCACGGCCTTGAGGAACACCACATCTTAATGACTTAGCTAATCATTATACTTCTTACACAAGTAAAGATTCCAGAGCGTTAGAAATACACAGAGTAAAGTAGTATTTTGAATACTGGTAACGTTAGGGGTGAGAAACACCATATTTTAATACTTCTGTAAAAACAAGATCTTACCAAAACCTTCAAGTTGGTTGGTGGGAGGGGTAAATAGTTTTACTYAGTTATCTGAATAAGCCTGAAGCGAGATGATGTTTTACCCCCGACTCTATATCATAATAGTTTTTAAAATTCTTTCATATTAAAATTTTTAGATTCCTTAGAGAATACAGGAACAATAGTCATAATTAAAGAACAAAAGCAATGTGAAAAGGATTATAGTCTAGAGACAGGGGTAAAACGTCATCTCGCTTCAGGCTTATTGATAGGTTTAACTTGACCTCATTTCCTGTCTCATGTGGAATGTTTATCTGCTGAACCACAAGTTTTCATTAAAATTCTTTCTGGTTGAGAGCACTTGAGGGTCAGTGTTTGGCCACCATTTGGTGAAGATAATGAATTCAAAGAACTTTATATCAGCTGATTAAAAGTCGGCAATAAAATTGACATGTCTTTATTGATGTTTTACAGGAGGTGGACAGCCTTCCAACAGCCCAAACATGCTTCTTCCAGCTGCGCCTGCCTCCCTACTCTAGTCCAGATGCAATGGCAGATCGATTAAGATATGCCATCAATAACTGCCGCTCTATTGATATGGACAACTACATGCTGACGAGAAATGCTGACGAGGGTGATGAAGAAGATGAATATTATTAGAAAGGTTAAAAAAAATGTAATTTCTGACATTACAGCCATCAGATGAAATGGGTACATAAAAGTTGTGCTTTTATTCCAGACAAAATGGTTATCAAAAGAATTAGAAAGACTTAAGTCAAGTAACTTATGCCAAAAAAGTGCAATTCTTAGTTGTGAGGACTTGTTAATGTTTAATTTATAACTTAGGCTGTGTGAGTCTGCTTAGGTAGAAATTTTACAATCAGGGCAATGAAAGATTGATTTTAGCTCCCGAAGATTTGTGGGATGGATTGGGTATTGGGAGTCCAATATTTACTTTCCCTAAGTATTAAACAGCTGCATTGGCTTTTTTACATTATTAAAATAAAAAGAAACTATATTTACTAATGGATTAATATTTTGATCACAGGAAGAATTTTTTGGTTAATATTTTATCTTTGAAAGATTTTGAAATAAGTAATTTGTACAAAGTTGTAACAAATCGAAGTAAAAATATGTTTTGATTTGAAATATTATGCATTTTTTTAATTCCTGGGAAGGGTAGGATAGGGTTTGTGTTTGTTATCTCTAGGGACACTCTAATAAAGCTGTATAAGGCTTTCATTTTGCCGCATTTTCATTACTGCTCGT